TTTTTGGTTTATCGCCCGGCGAACTCCGGAGGGTACGAAACGGCTTTGAACATGCCCCAAAGGCCCACGAGAATGCAGAGGGGCTGCTTTGAAATCAAAGCAATAACCGTCTCCCTCCTTTGCAATTAGGAGCCAAACGTGGATCATTGCCACCTTTGCAAGCGCGGGTCGGGGGTGCTCGGGGACAGGTGATGCAGCCGCTCTGCTCTAAACAACCAGCCTGCAGCTCGCGGCCCCTCCAGTGCGTCCCAGCGGGGGCCGTTTATTGAGCCATAAACTCCTCCGATAGCGTTATCGCCACAGCGTTGGCACAAATAAACGTTGGGAGAAAGAAAGATTAAAAGACTGAATTGACTTTACCGAGAAAGCAAGAAAAACACTTTGCAGATACACTTGCTTTGAACAAGGACAGAGAGACGCAAGGTAGGGCACGTACCCACCTGACGGGGGATGGTTGAGCAGCCTGCTCCAGATACAAAATACACAGATTTATCTGAAGCCACAAAGTTGCATTTCGGAAGCTCAAACAGCCCTAAAGCTTTCCAAGGCAGATAAACTGCATTTCAAGCAGCATACTGTGTGATATATTTATATCTTCTCTGTGAGACTCGAGCAGCTAAGATCTACCTCTGCAGAATCTCAGGAGAGGAAAAAAGCACCCAAGAAAGCAACACGACACTGGCCTTCCTCAAGCCCAGATACTCTGCTCACTACCCCTGAGCAAAGTCATCTTCCCCAACCACGTGTTCTGCAGGCTGCCCACCAATCTTTATCTCAGTAGCTATATAAACAGCCTGTAAAGCATTTTGTAATGTATCAAAATAGAAGCAGCTCTGTAGAGCCAGTTTAACACTCCCTGCTGATCGCAGATACCTGCAGTGCAGCCCGTGGCATCCAATGCATCCTGAAGCTGTTTCTGCTAAGGAGAGAGGGATTGAGGCTGTGGGAATGAGGGCTCCCAGCAGGACATATCCCACCAGGAACCGAGGTGCTCGAGCGAAGCTCCTCGATCAGGACAGGACACCGTGTGGCTGCATCTGACGCACCTTTTTGGTAGCGATAACCCGGGTCATCGCCTCCAGATTTAAAGCAAACTTCAGGCAGAGTTGCACCGCTCGGCCCGGCGCATCGAACGGGAACCAGCCTTTCGTAAGGATGACTTGGAAAATCAGAAACCATAGATGGATCACGTTACCTTTTACCACAGCCAAGGGCAAAGGAGTACGCCACACGCTCAAGGTTACACTACCCTATCAGTGGAATGCAGCGAGAGCAGCAAGGACCTGTTTGCAAGGGTCTGTTTGCCCAGCACGGTGCCTCGCAGCAAATGAGCGCTCCATTTCCCCAACACTGCCCTCACTAACCAAGAATGCCCATACACGGGGAAGCTGTGCCACAATAAACTGCAGTCTACTGCACGAGCATTTCCCTATGCAGACAAGCCCTACAGCCTTACCAGAAGCAGGTTTACATTTGTCTGTTATGTCTAGCAGACGCCGGAGAAGCTGGATGGAGAACAGGCGGAGGAAAAGGCTGCAGAATTATGAATGGCTCCCAGCTCCATGTATACACCTCCTATTGACAAGGGAATACATGTGTCTGAGCACACAGCTCTTTATAACTCGGTTTGGCCAGGAGCTAGAGTGCTCCAACGTCAGCCCGGTCCCTCTGTGACAGAGAGGCTTCTAAGGAGACGCTAAGAGAGCACTTGGGAAAACAGGGATAGAGGCTCTTTGCTGGGACACAGCTTTCCACACACACGTGCCATAGGAAGATACCTTCCGAGTCTCAAATCACGTTATTCTGTGGTCACCAGAGGCCAATTTTGTTTTCAAGTGGCAGCTGATTCGAGATCCCCTTGCACAACCGCTGAGCACGCAGCAAACTGCCCAAATAAAACTCCTGGGAAATTCAGCCTTGCCTGCGGGGGTGAATAGGAAGTAAAGGAAGCAGCAGGGTGACACCAATGTTCTGAAAAGCCTCTGTGTCAGTGCACATTTACAGGGGGAGGAGAACTATTCAGCAAGAGAATTTATACCCAAAAAGTGTCATTTGTCCTTCCCCTCCATCTGGACTCAAGTAAGAAATTACCCACATTTCTACTGCCCACTCTCCTTTTCCTTCCACACCCTCTTCTCATTGGCACGAGATAAAACCTTGGGGAAGCAGCAGCAGCAATTTCCAATTCTCATTATCTGACGGCAGCAGTAGCAGCAGTAGCTCGTGGTGAAACTTGCAGTCAATAAAACACCGGCAATTTGAAAAGACACAATGGGAGCTGCCCCTCCCACGGCTGTCCCATTATCCCCGCTTTTATTAGATTTAAAACCAGCGATTTTTATGCCATAGCTGAAGTTCCGCAGAGCCACGAAAACAGGCCACCAGGAAAGATAAAACACTCCTAAATTAAACAGCAGACGCTGCAGCGACACACGGCCCCACGGAGAGGGAAAAACAGGAGCAGCTCAGCCGACCTGCTTCGGATGCCTGCTTTGGGATCAGATGTGCTCTGGTGGTGCCTGTTTCTCCCTGGTGACTATGAAAAAGAGTCGGGGCGATGGGCAACACACGGGACACATAACAGCGAGGGCCTGCGCTGGAAAGGAGGGGAGAAAACAAACTTTACCTTGGTGCAGCGATCACTCGATGCATTTGTCTGGGGCAGAAGCGAGCGAGGACACATCCAAGTTCCCAGCTCCGAGAGGAGCTCGGCAGAAGGCAAAGGGAACGGGGTGCCCAAAGGAAAGGTCTCCAACAACACAGTAAGGGGGAAGATGCAAGGAACTGCAGTCATCCGCTGTGCGCTGTAATTTTCATTTTAGAGATCTAGAGCTTTCTTTCTCTGAGTCTAATGTATATTGCACCCTGGAGACATTTTTACCAGCCATCAAAAGAAACTCGCAGAGAACCAGATGCTTCATTAAAGAATATTCACCAAGCCTTATAAAACCTTTAGTGAAAAGCAGAAGAACAAATCACCCGCATGCAAGTGAGCTGAAGCCACACATCCAGCTTTGATTACGACATCCTCCAGGCCCGGAAAACAAACTGTGCTTAAACAGGGGGAAGAAAGAAAAAAAAAAAAATCTGTCCCTTCTTTACCAAATTCCTCCAACACGAATTTCCTGAATGAGGAATGCCTGAGACTGAAAGCAATTTGGTAAAATAAAATAAAATAAAATAAAATAAAATAAAATAAAATAAAAATGACACAACAGCTCATGTTCGCTGTCTGCATGTCAGGAGTCACAGCACTCTGTAGGAGCAGTGAGACAATCATCAGGGCTTGAGCTGTGCTTGGATAATGGAAAGCCCAGAAGATGTTCTGGCTTACCTGAGAGTTTTATTTGCATTTGCTCTTGCAGAATCCTTTCAGGCCTCCATCTCGCTGCAAGACTTGGTTACCCATTTACTCAGTTACCCTCTTAAAACACAGCAAGGAGATTTTCTGTCACCTCACCACCCCCCACAGCAGATTAGTGTCCTAGGCACTGACCCTTCCAGGAAGTTTCTAAAACACTGGGAAAATATTTCCAAGTTCACTGGCACTCTGGGAGCCAAGAAGAGCCCATGTTTTGCCTTATAAAGAAAGCACGCTAAAAACCCACCCCGCCACACAAATGCAAGGAAGCTGCAAGATTACAGGATCTCTCACTGCCCTCTGCTGTTACCAGCCTTCCGCTTCCCATCTCCTCCTTACCAACGGCTGGGGCTGGCAGCTTCCCAGCCCCTTTCTCCGGCGCCTGCAAAGCCGCTCAGGTTTAATGCAACCCGTCTGCCTGGGTAATCACATTCCCTCCGCCCTGAGCGCAATCAAGATGTATTGGTAAATGCATTTGCTAAAGAAACCCTCCGCTGGAAAGGCTACAAGCCCCATTTCCAGGAGCGAGGAAGAGGCCAGGTAAGGAGGCTGGTGCTGGCCGAGGGCACGGACTGCATCGCTGCAGCCTTTCCTAAACGCTGAGAAAGGAAATGAAACCGCACGGCTGGGGAGCCGGGGGCTTCGAGGATACTCGAGAAAAGCCCTTTCCCTGGCAGCCTTAACCTTGCTGATTTGCAGACATACAAAGACCTTCTTTGTAAACAGGAAGGAAAAAAATTCCACTAGGACTAACAACAACATTTGGTCTAATATATCCTGACAATTTTCCCATCTCCTTCTGTCGGGTTGCTTCTGGGAGCCGGCTGGCAGCTTGTTTCATGTTATACTTAAATCAGGCATACAGCTTTCCCTCACAACGCTAATGCGACAGAGAAAGACGGCTCTGTGAAAGCTCCACCTTCCCCCAATCCACATTAGTAATCCCGTGAGAGGGATCTCAGCTTTCTATCCCCAGAAGGCCCCATCCTTTCCCCCAATCTTCCCTACTCCAGGCTCAGCACCCTCTGAAGAATTTCCCTTCCCCCCCTAAAAAATAGTCTATTAGCAGCATCTGTCCAAGCAAATTCTCATTTAGGAACCAGCATCCTTCATGCTCTGGACATCACAAACAGCAGAAATGTTAACACTTATGCCTTTCCTACCGTTTTCCTTAAGACCATCCTGGTCATAACATCCCACTATTGAGGCTCTGCATCTCTTGGAAGTTTTTCCCCATGCAACAATGACACCTTGCAACTGCGAGGTCCCATGACGGCAGCAGGGTTGTTCAAAGTCCCTTTAAAATACTTCTGCCATTGCCAAAAATCAACTGGTTTGCTCTCTGTAGGACAGCAAAATGTGGGGAAAATGTGGTGACCGCCTTGGAAACGTAAGAGTGCCCACACCTCTGTTTTGGTGCAAGCTCAGCACATCCGCACTTGCTGATAGAAGGCATGTTGGGACACAGCACAGTGTGAGTGGGAAACGTGAAAGCAAAGAAAGAGGATCTTGAGGAAAGTCTGTCTTCTACGAACGCTGCCATTTGACCAACAGAAATCACTACTCAGGTACTTCTCTAGGAGGACACTGTGCAAAGCAAGACAGCAGAGCCAGCGAGCACAACGGGCCGTTCCGTTACCTTCTGGGCGGCGCTAACGCAGCGCTGATACTCCTTGGCCAGCTCCGAGCACCTGAGCACTTCGTGTTTGTTTTCTTGGTAGCACTTGAGAATCTCAGACTGCAGCCTTGAACAGACGGGATCAGTGCTCCTCCTCCTGCAAGGCAAGCAAGAACACCAGAGATGTGAGCAGGAGTTCTCACCTACTTACTACCACTTTACTAGCACATAAATACTAGCACTCCAAGGTGCTCCTTGGAGCCACCTAGTCCTGGCCAATGAAGAAACCAGGTGAACAGTGCTCACAGGAGGTCAAACGGCCAGCAGTGCCTTTCAGCTATAAAATACAGAGTACTTCGTGGAAAGAAAGAGCATACTCTTTCTAGGTTAGGGGAGGAGGGAGGTTGTGCTTTATCCTTAGATAACACATCATTTCTCCTCTACAGTTAGGAAAAAATCGATTCAAGAGGTTCGATGATTTCCCTGAATCACATTGGAAATCTTTGGCAGAACTTCGTGGTCCTGGCTGGGCCTGCAGATCTGTAACAGTCTGATGAGGGACTGAGCGGGCTTGTTGAATGAGCACCTCCATGTATTGAATTCTCATCTATTTAGGCATTTCAAAAGACGCAGCATGGCTGGAAACACCGTGGTCCTCCCAGCGACTAGGAAGAGCAAGGAAGAGCAGGAAGACCTGCTATCTGTTTCTTTACATTTCTGAAGTAATTAGTACCCATATCCCATAAGTGTCATTAAGAGCTACCCAAGAACAATTAGAGATGTTCCTACATACTCTGTGATGTGCACGTGTCCATATGCACATCAACTACCTGTAAAGAGCAAGGTCACTGCTGAGCGCTGCCAGCGGCAACGGCGCGAACGCAGCAACGACGGTGCCATCAGCTGCAGACGCGCGGGCACCAACGGCAGCACTGGTAGATTTTACGTGAGGACAGTGAACATACAGAGCACTTCTCAGATGGAGCCTCCCAAAGCAAAAATCCCTTGAATTCCCCGTGCATTCCGCCCCAGGCGGGGTACAGATCCGTGCCCGAACCTCAGGCACCTCTTCCACGCGGGCACTCGATCCTCTGGGCAGGCAGAAAGGCCACGGCACGACCTGCTCGCTGCCACTGGAAGGCAGGGCAGGTAAAACAAAGTGATCTCCAGGAATATTAAGGTCTTAAGGCAAAATCTTCTAAAAGGTTTTGGAGAGCTCAGGCTTTAGTTTCCAAACGGTGATCATTTCTGTAGGGTGCTCGAGAAGGCAAGGGACAAAAGAGGAAAAGCTCCTCTGCCCTTTGCAAATCAGCAACCCAGTTCCTCAAAACAGTTTGCTTGAGGCCAGCTCCTAAAACAACTTCTTCAGCCCATTATACCACCAACATACACGGCCAGACCAAGAATTTAATAGTAATATCACAACAGTCATGCTATAAAACACCCTGATCCAAAACGTTGGGATTAGAAACCACCCCAAATACCAAATAGGCTTCCTTTTCCAGTCCCCTTCCTCATCTTTCAGCCTTTCGGAGAAATATATATTCCATATATGGTCCCTAGAGGTGCATTTGTAATTTTGTATTTTCAATAGAATACCATCATAAAAGACTCTTAAATCTGTATTTTAAAAAAATCATTTCAAAATTTGAAAGAGAAAAGAACTCATAGAGAGCTTCAGAAACTCATAATGTTGGCATTTTGCTCTGTCACTAACTTTAATATCCCTCTAATCAAATCACGGAGACAGTGGAAACGATACCAAACAATACCAGGTCAGGAAATACCATCAAATCCCTCAATTCATTGAAAAAGTTAAGACTTTCAAAATTAGGTTTTTTAACCCAGCTACATTAAACTGAAGGGCATTTTGCAATTTTCATGCAGAAAATTAGAAAGTGGTACAGCCTGTCACAAAACGCTCTATATTCATCTGAACTGAATGATACCACAGAAGCATCTCGGAGAAATATTTAGAAGGACGTTCAGGTTCACAGAGCTCCCCGTGCCAGCAAAGCCAATTAAGCTTTTCCTTTTGTGTCTGCTCCTTCAGTTTAACCTCCTACAGTACCAGGCTTCATTTCCCAGAGTAAATACAAAGCTTGGGCTTCCGTGTGGGCTTGTGAGAGTAGTGCAAAGTTTGTGGCACTCTTACTTAGGAGGCTCTCGATACTTGGCCCACTGCAGTGTCTGTGGCCACACAGGATCGACCCGTGTAGGACGGCATCCATTGCACCATACACATCCATTGAGCAGTGAGTACCTTAAATATTGCTGTTCATATATGCTGCTTCCCACAACACAGAGGATTTACTGGATAACTGCATTCCAGGTACCCAGAACCATAAAAAAAAAATGTGTGTGTATATATATATATATATATATATATAGTCTCCAAATCAATAAGTTGCTGTTTCTCCAAAATAAAATCTCAAACTCCATTTATGCACCAATAGCACCGGCCTCTCGAAGCAGATTTAGAGAAACTAATCAATGCAACACAAAGTCAGTTAAGGCAATTATCAACAGAAGCCACGGGAACCCATTTATGAGCGGCTTCGCAAGTGAACTGGAAATTCAACGCACCCAGTTAAATCCTACTGAGGAGGACACTTCCTCCGTAGGAAGGCTCTGTACACCTCTCAACCTCAGCCCAGTTCAAGGCTGCTGGCAACAAATACCTCTCATTACCCCTCATAAAAACTCATCTTCTGGACCCTCCCCTGCTCTGCTCTTGGTAAAGGTGTCTTTTTTTTTTTTTTTTTTTTTTTTTGAGGCTTCTTTATTATTTCTTAGGAGGGGAAGGCAGGTAGTGGAGCAGGGATGAGGTTAAAACAGAGACTGCTCTTTAAAAACCAGCCCTGTGGTTTAAGAACAGCCCCCTGTCAGTGCCACCAAAACAGAGGCGAGTGGCTGGCTGGGAGCTGGGAAAAGGCAGGAGAGGGGCTGGGGTGGGAGGGGCAAGGACTGGATCCAGCCCGGGATGCACCAGGAAGAGCTCAGAGACATGCGGGACAAAGGCGATGGGAGATCAAACCAGCAACCGTGTTCTCCTCTCCTGAAAGGAAGAGGGAGAGGTGACAGGTAGGAAAGGATGATACTAAGGACAAAAAGAAAAGGCTTTAGCAGCTTCTCTCTTACATCAGGGAAAGGAACCTGTGCTTCCTTGCTGCCCAATGGGAAGGGAGGCTCCGCAGGCAGGAAGTCCAGGATTCCTGATGTGCCTCTCTCCCCATTCCAGCGAGCAACCTGACCGAGCTCTTTGTCTGGAAGAGAAGGGAGTAGGTTTCTCCAAAGGCAACAAAGGATGCGGTGCTCCCAGTGCTCTGGGCTCTCCCTGGAGGGAAGTGTCGAACCAGGAACCCTGCTGCATTCCAACACACCAAGAGTTACCAAATCCTCCCTCTCGCCGCGGGTTCCCTTTATTTAATAAATGAAATCTCATCAACTTATCCTTCTTCTATTATCACTGCTGACATCAATCTGATAATATTGGCCTGGCGTGGAATCGTGCTATTATATGTCCTCTTGATATTTAATTTAAGAGAAACGTCTGCAGAGGGGTGAATATGTGAAGCAAGCTTTTTATTACTGGCAGCAGTAAGGACGCTGGGAGTGAATTAGACATTCATCTTAGTCAGGGCCAATCTAGTGGCTCAGAGGAGGTTTTCTCCTTAACCCTCTCCTGGCTGCTCTGCAGTGGCAGGTAGCAGCTGCTCTGGTCAATAACTGCATTTGTCTTGGCAAATCCACTTCTGCGCGGATATAAACCCTGTGAAGAAGTGCTGGGTATCTGGGAGGTTAAAGCAAGGTTCTCCGAGGACTTCCATCAAAACTTCTGGGCTAGCAGGAAGAGCACTGGGCTAAACGTCCAGCAGTTAATCAAGGAGCAACACAGCTTTCACACACACTTAGTGCGAGACCCGATGAAGACAACGGCAGCAGGATACAGACCTGCCAGGCAAGAGGTTTCAAACACAGCATGATGATGACTACTGAGTTCTTGCTGCTGCTGACAGCTTCCCTCTTTGGAAGAAGTATGGACTTCGGATTGGAAAGCAAAGGAGAAAAGATAGATGTGTATGTGTATGTATTTGCTACCGCATACATCCAGCTGAACAGATATAGACTAGATACAGCTTTAACGCTACAGGGCTTGGCAGAGCTTTAATGCCAAAATAGCCATTGCTCTGCCGTGATTCCCACTCTGCCACTTGGCTTTACCAGGTAAAACAGTGACCCCAGATGGAGTTCAAAATAAGATCCGTTTTTTACCTTTTATTGTGGCAAACCATTCAGGCTCAGAGAAAAACTCAACATACAGAGTGCAGGTATCTAAACTTAGACATTTGGGCACGTGCACTATTAAAGTGAAGAGAGACATGCAGGATTCCTCATAGAAGCCAGCTTCAGAGAAGCTCGCTCCAGTAGACAGCTACAGACAGCAAACTGAACAGGGCCGATTCCCTGTAGGTTCCTCAAAATTCCCTGTCAGCTGCAAGATCCACCACTCACTGGACAAACTACTCTTGCCTGGGTTGCTGCCCATGTCTGAGCCAGCCTGAGCAAACCGAGGTTCATCCGCAGCGTGTTAGTCTGTGCTGTAACTACCACGGACAGCCTGGAGAGCAGTGGGTCTGCAACAAGGGGTGCTGCTAATGTGGTGGGCAAAGCTGGGGCCCTTGGAGGCAGCTCCTGTGTGCCACGGAGCAGTCAGACTCGTCAGCAGCTCGTTAGCCTGTCTGCATGGCTAGGGCACGTTATGTGCATTGCAGACAAAGCTCAGGCAAGTTTTGTCACACAAATGCAGGGAGATGCTGGGCTGCACTGTACATACATAAAGCCCAATAAGTGGTTAACTGACCTGTAAAACTGCATTCTCCCTTGGGTAGCAGTTGGCTCTCACTGATGGCTTCTCTTTAACATGTCAGAAAAATAACTCCAGACAGATGCAATGCACAGCACATAGAAAGGTTCCATCCTCTCTCATTACTGCATCCCTGACATTTGCAGCAGCAAATTAAACACAATTGAAGCATTTCATTCACATAGAACAAACTCATCACCACAGAGCAAGCAGCCAGGAAGCCAACGTGGAGCACAGGCTGCAGGACCCATCACAATGTGGACACCACGGCCTCACTGCGGCCAGTGGGA